ACGTGATGCAATTGACACATTTAAGACATACGCTGTAGTGGAGGCTGCCTTCATGGAGGGGAAGGAACTTCAGGCCCAGGTGGATGTCACCTCGTGCTCCGGCACTCTTCCCAAAGGAATCATTGTAATTCTTCGCTAATGCACTGTTCACAGGGTCTCCTGAGGACGGTTATTACACCATCCTTGTTTCGTCTGTTTCTCCAAGTTTGGTCAACCTGTTTGCCTGTCATCCCGTTCATCATTCAATTATTCCTATTCATCACAGGAAGATGATTGCAGATGTCGCATACTGAAGCCATCGGCCTTATTAACGGACATTTTATGGACTATATAGACTTTTACATATGGCTTTAAATTCGCTACTCTAATCTTAGAAGCACCAACACGAAGAGATCGCTATTTTTCTCCTCACCTAAGCAGTCACCAGAGGCAAATTCCCTTCATGGCGCAAGACGATTCATACTTTTCACATTCACGAAAGGCAATTTTGGAGTTTCAAATTAATTCTGCATGGGATGTGTCATCGAATGCAATATATGGTGAAGTTCACTCCGTAAACGTTTGGCTTTGCTCTCGAATGGCCTCAGATTTGGGAATATCGCCAGCTCTTTAAACGATACAAAGAAAGCGTTTCACATATGAATTGGTAAGTCAGAAAATGAACGTAAATTGAAACGCGTCCGAAAAATCCATGCAAACTCTCTTTCCCACAATTAATGCGCAGTTCGCACTAATTTCTTTAGATCATACCATACTTCAAAGAATTATTGTGACATCGCCCTATTCGCTATGCAACGAAATCCTTCCCAAAACCAGAGATTTGAATATACCCTTTCCGTGTTCAGGCTGCGGGAGCCAAGGTGCTCGCTTGGGTTGATGAAGAGGGTGGAGATATGCCAGGAATCCACTTCTCACAATCCATCGCTGGCTGTGATTAGAATTCTATTCTCTCCACGAGTTCATTTTATTGATTTCTTTTCATTTTCGCCCTTCCTGCACCTTACTTCTTATCTTTCACAGTTGCTGGGGATATTGTCGTTCAAGAGTTCCTCTTGGGCGAGGACGGCATATTACAGGTTTTGACCACCGCGTTCAACCCTGTCGATCCGGGTGACGTTCCACTTATAACAGAGTTTGCGTGTGTCATTGGTGAAGGAGTTATCTTCTCACCACCTTCCTTTAATCGGTGAGTCTGGGAAATCCTTGTCATATGAGAAAGACGACTTGCGGTAAACAGTGGATGACCGCATCCATCATTTTAGAGTGGAGCTGACGGATTACGAATCGGTGTTGAATGCCCAACTGAATGGATCGAAGCTGTCGGCCGAGATCGACTTGAGTGAATGCGTGGACCCAACAGGCCAATTCGACCTCAGCAGTGTCACGGCTGGCGCATGCTTCCAAGATGTTACAATTCTTGGTGTCGGCAGTGTCGGCACCAAAATTTTTTTCTTCTGCATGCCTTCTTTTTCCCGTATGCGTTATTGCATGTTACTGCACCTGAAGGAGAAGTAGACTCTCCGCTTTCATTAGGGTATGGTGAGTCCTGAGCAAAGGTGATCCCCAACATAGAATTTTTCTGTGCAAATGTTACAGTAAGATGTAACAGTGTCCCGCAATGTAACAGTAACCCGTAATGGCAGGCAGCTCAAATATTGCAGGAAAATTGGCATCTGAATATTTCTACAGGCCTCGGTTCTGATAACGTCAAGGAAAACGTATAATGTAATTTCCTTCATCCCTTCATCCTTTCAGCCCCCGAAGAGAGGATCTTTGTATCCGGATTTGGTGTGCACAGTAATCCCAACAGCGGCGTAGCTTAAGAAACTTTCGGAGCGACTGTCGATACATGCAACAATGCCCTCGTCTATCCAGGCTACTGGCGGTTTAATGAGAACGATGAATGGGGCAACGACTTTGGCGACGCTATTTTGGAATGCACCCTCGGTGGCATGAGAGGCAAATAAAATCTGATTGATACATTGTTTCATCCATTCCTCATCGGTGTCGTGCTCATCAATAGAACATTGTCGCATTCGAGCAGGGGGGGGGAGGACGAAACCACAAAATGTTGACTACCCGCTGAACATTACCCTATACCTGCATTGAACAAGGTTTACTTAAAGTCATTGAATAATTAAGTCATTTCTTCCTACCCTCAAGGTGTGATTTTTCAAACAGTAACTCTGACATTTCTTGCAGGGCTATTTGGAAGCGAAAGCATATGATCGCAGATTAAAAACAATGAACATGAACACGAGGCGGCCATCCACGGGGTAGTTAATGGCGACTCCAGGGCAGAGACTCCACGCCGATTTCGAACTCAAACTAATGATTGAATGAATTTATTGCTTGGATAAACACCTAATTGAATATTATTTAACTGTGTAATATTAATTTTTTGCTATTATGTACCTTCCTAAGGTTTACGTTCGAGTCCTAAATTGAAGCTCATCTGGTATATTGTATTGTTTAAGGTTGACAAAAAAAAATGAGTTTGTGAATATTCATAAAAAATGTACTGTTCATTATAAACAAGGTTCCTCATTCTTCTCTGCAAGACTCATAGACTAGGTCACGAAATAGAAAATATGGCTTTGCCGATCATCATCATTAAATATTCATCTGACGCGTGCAGCAGATTAAATGGCGGGGTCAGTATTCCTATGGTCCATTTTTCCCCTTGAACTTTTTTTCCCCAAAGATTTCCCATTCAATTCTCTGCAAAGTCACATGCTTTTGTTAACGCAAATAATCACCCATATTTTTCGACACATGAGCTATGTCACTAGTCGAAGCAGAACAACTTTCTAACGCGACTTCCCGGCCGAGTTCGCTTCACAGCTTTTTTCAGTTCGTCGACCGGAGTCCCTCGGGTGACGTCATATTATCCCTCTTGATGACATGGACCAGATTGTCCCAGATCGAGTAGTTCAAGGGGTTCAAATCGGGACAGTTTGTTGGCCAATGGTCCTCCTTGATAGAAGAAGGGAAATTCTCTCGATACCATTGTCGGGACAGCTGATCAGTATACTGTCCCGCGTGTTATTAGATGGTATAGTGGTCGCCGAAGACGTCCTTGCCGTATTTGAGGGCCACCGGAAGCACTTCTCGCATGTATCGAGCGTGATCGACCGACCCCTTTTTGAAGATGACCAGCGCACAGTGGGTTAGCAGGCAATAATAGGCCAATAAATTCCGGCATCTCAGATTGGTCCAAACTATTTTTCCATAATATTTTATAGATGAGGCAAACAAAAACACCATTATTATACTGTCAAATTGACGGCATTCATCAATATTGTCAAAAATCTGACCGATATTGGAAAAATGGAGAACTATAAAAGACTGCCTAAATCTCGATTTGACTTTTACCCCTGAATCAGGTGAGGGGGGGGGGGGGTAATTCCAGGAATGACGGAAAATTTGCACTTTTCTGACTTTATAGGGCTGTATCTTTTTTTTGAGATTAGACGACAATATTCTGCTTCTCACCAGAAGTTGGTGCTTGTATTAGGAATGAAACCGTGGGGAGTTTATTTTCAGCAAGTTGTAGCAACATGAATAACAAGAGATGTGTTGACAAGAGATGTGTGGCATAAATGGCTACTTCTAGCATTCCGAACAAAGTAGCATATGATGCACCGCTTTGTAAAGAATTCAATGGAGAATCTTTTAATTAAAAAAAGTTCAAGTCCGAGCAACGAAAAATGGGAATTGACGGAATACTGACCCCGCCATTCATTCTGCCGCACCCGTTATATTGTTGTTGTCAGTGCATTTCCAGTCATTTCCTGTCATTTCCAGTCATTTCCAGTCATTTCCTGTCATCTTATGTCGCATCAACTCATCAGCATGTATGACCTTGTCCGCTTTTCCACTGAATTGTACGCTTTTCACGGAACGTGGAATAGAAACGGATCGAAGCAAGGTGCTTCGAATATGCGTCCGGGGGTTTGCGAGTTCACTTGCAGTTTCGCAGCTGCCGTGGGGGAATTTCATTCGGCCTACAGCGAGGAGATTGGACTTGAGTTTCTTTGGAAGCCTCGTCGCATCGGACGGTGAGAGGAGTTCAATTCTTTTCCTTGAAAGTAGAGAACGTTGGGTCTTTCCCACGACTTCCTGAAATTCCCGTCAGAGATTTTCTCGGCGTCGGCTCCGGAATGGGAAGAGAGATAACAGGAACTCCATGAACTTCATCCGCATTGCCTCATCCAATGTCCTTGAAACCCTCCGATTTTTCTGAGCATCTTTCGGGTTTTTCAAACCACCTTTCATCGATGAAATCCTTTTAGGTGACCGTTTTTGGGGGGATAGAAGAGACCACAAACGCCGGCAGGGCACCTACGTTGGGCCTATGTTGGAATTCCATATTAGCGATGTGGGTCCATCGTAGGACTCTCGTGGGCTTATCCCTTGGCCCCGCGTTGGGCCAACGTCAAATGCCGACGCACGGCATCACTTCCCACTAAAATAGCTGCTACTCAGGCACCATCTCGCATCAACTGTTGGAAGCTTCTTGTTGTCATAATGACTACATACCCACCATCTCGCTTAATCTGTGAGAAGCTTTTTGTTCAAATAGCTGAGATAGACGTCTCATCCTGAGTCAGGACAAAAGTTGGCTGCCGCCCTAGCGCTGATGTGGGGCCTACATGGGCAGCCCACTGCTACGTTGGCCCACGCTCCCCCACTAGCAGCCAATGTTGGCCCAACGTTGTATGCTACCAGGGTAGCCGCTATTGAAACTAGAGTATTCGGGCAATTGTTTTCCAAACACTCTAATTTCGTTCCTTATTTTCATCCCATACCCCTGAAACTCTAATCGATTTCATGCACACGAGCATGAGCGTGAGTGGAAAAAGGTTGTTAAAGGAGAGCTCTGTTCCTTCTTGGTCATGCTTTTTTTTGGCGACGAGTATTGTTCCCCGTGGATAACGGAAGAATCGGTCATTAAAATTCCTATTTTGTGATACATTCGGATTCATTCGGAAAGTAAATCAGAATGAAATACTTTAATCACTGGAAAACACCACACAGGCTCATTGCATAATGCGCTAGCCCGTCATCGCGGTGAAAAGTCGCGTCAGAGCCCCAACAGCCTTCCCAGCACAAATTAGGAGCAGAAAGAAAAAAAAGGATGAACGAATGAATCGGAATTTATTGTACTCTTAGGCCTCCTGGAAGATCATGACCCCCTCGCCGAGAGTGCATTCCAATATCGTAGTGCCAAAGTCGTTGGTCCATTCTCCGTTTTCGTTATAATGCCAGTAGCCTGGGGCGACGACAGCGTTGTTGTTTTCATCGACGGTCACCCCGAAACTCTCATAGGCATAAACGCTGATGGGATCGCTGTTCAAGGCGAACGCCGATCCAAATAGCCTTGCATCAGGGGCTGGAACCAATTAGAAGACGGAGATGACATATAAATTGCTTCTTGACAGAAAGTACGTCATGCACTCGACTCACTTCCGGGACTGAAAATGACAAGATCTTGAAGGTATGCGCCTGCCCTGACACCGCTGAGATCGACTTCACCGGTGGGATCCACGCATTCGTTGAAGTCGATCTCGGCTGACAACTTCGCACCGTTCATTTCCGCCTCCACCACCGCCGCGTAATCCGTCAACTCCGTTCTATTGAACACATGGAACGAGTTCTCGTTCTCACATCGGATCTCGTTCTCACATCGCTCGATCGACTCACCGGCCGAAGGAAGGCGCGGAGAAGAGGGCTCCTTCACCGATGGCGCACATGTACAATAATACTTCTGGGGCGTCGGCAGGGTCGATTGGATTGAAAGCGGTCGTTCTTAGGTACAGTTGGTCGTCCTCGGCGGCATAGAATTCTTCCAAGACGAAATCCCCAAAGACTATACCCAGAAAAGCCGAGTGAGCAACAACAAGAGTCGCAACCGAGACGGCCCCCCCCCCCCCGCGCATTCAAGCAAATTCGTCACCGTCGACGATGGATTGAGAGAAGACGATGCCGGGTTGCTCTCCAGCCTCCGTTCGAACCCAAGAGATCACCTTGGCTCCAAGATTCTGAAGGGGAGAGGGAAAATCTTATTATTGGCGCGATTCAGCGAATTCCCAACTCGAGCTCTCAACCGATTGTTCGTCCATACATTAGTGAAGCAAAAATGCATGAATTAATGGATCTCGAAATTTTTTACGAAGAGAGGAGGCCCGTTTCTAGTGAAATGTGCTAATAACCCCGGAGATGATGACAGCGCGAGTCGCTCTGAAGTGCGTGCAAATCTGACTTAGCTTCCATTACCTGATTTGGGAATGGCATCCAGCTTGTTTCGAATGATTTCTAGGATGATTTCTTTACATCTAATTAAACCCGGCTCTATGTTTGATGGACCCTACCGCACATCTGGAGCACTTGATTTCATTTTGCAAGCAGGTGGTGCCAATATCTCATTGTGTAATTACAGTATCATGAAGGAAATTTGCGTTTCCAAATATAAACATACAAAACTACAGATGAAGTACGAGTAGACTTCATTGCCATAGGGGGCTTCTTGATGTCGTCCCTTTTTCCACTGTGAAACAGCTCGCCTGGCTCTGCATATCCAAAGCCCAACCTGTCTTGACTTGTGGCTGCCTGATTGCAATCGCAAAATTTCCTCATGGCACATAAATCTCCTCGCGCCTCGCATCTCGAAGGCTCTCGTTGTGAGAGACGGAGCGTAAAGGAAAGTCGCGAATAAGGAAAGCTATTTGAGCAAAGCAGGGGGAGAACTGGAATGATAAAGGGCAATGACATTTGCATGAGCTACCGTCCGTAGAGCGGAGCATTATTTGAATTGCCAGGAGGACTTTATATTTGCTTCCTAGAGATATAGCATTTGGAATTACCGAAAGCCTCAGATTTCACCCTGCTCTAATCTTGGTCTTCGCGTGTATGCGCTTCATTTGCATGAGACGTTCGTTGGCCAAAATAATTTCTTTCACTAGGCGTAGTTAAGAGTTTAAATTTTGAACCCTTCAAAATAATCCTACAAACCCAGGAAGCTACCTTGAAGTTATGTAATTATGAAGTTATGTAGGCAGTTATGACACCATTCTTTGTGATGCCCTCAGCTCTCCTAAAACCCTTCCTATAGTTGCTAATCAAATATTTTTACTTTTGAGACACACGGAAGGACACAGACTAAATTCTGCAGGACACGCGGCATTACGAAAGGAATCAGGCAACACCTGAAAAGAAAGACAGCCCTTACGGGGATTACAAGGACTACAAGGACTTACGAGGACTTCGGGTAGCGTCGTGTTTGGCGAAAGGCACGAGGAGGAAATCAGGGAAACTTGGATGTCCTTCCCTTCCAAAAACGCAGCATCCAGTTCAGCATACGTTCCGAATGAATCATAGGAATCACCTGTAAATTGCAGAGGATGAAATATCCTGAGTATGTATTCTCCACTCATAATTTGAATATATCTCCAACAATTACAGTTTATAGACTAACAGCTTTTTCTTTTGAAATTGGCTTGGGCAGGTTAGGGTTTTTCACCACGGCTACGCTGAGTCAATGGCAAACTTTAAGGAGATAAAAAAAATGGAAATTCAGGATGAAATCAAAGAATACAATAAAGTAAGCTATTGCCATTGTTTATTCAAAATGACATTGATGATTGATATGACGAAATTATATTAAATTACATTGAGCAGATTAGCTTCGATTAAGATTAAAAGTGCGTAAGACGAGCTTTTATTTGTCTATGCAACCAACCAAATAATATCATCTAAAATGCGTGTGGCTAACATATTATGATCAATGTACGATTAAATGCCTACATCATTATCTATTATCTCCATTATTTCGATAGCCATGTCAAAAACTGCCGAAGGAGGATTTAGATGAAGCTCCAGTTGTCGATTTCAAATTTCCGAAAGTAGTTCTCATTTGATATCTCATTCCATTTGTTCTGAGGATATTCAATCGACTGTATCAAAATCCAATTGACGCCTCTTCCTGAATCTCTTTCAGACAGTTGACACTGCTGATATATGTGCAACGTCTCTCAGCTGAGGAGAGAATAGAGAATTAAAGAGAATGTCAGAAGATGCAGGTCTACCTGAGGCATCGAAAAATTTCATGGATTCTCCGAGGACACACCGGTATCCTTCTGGATAAGGATATTCGTCCTCCCAGGTCAGGGTATTGTAGTAATTGACAATAATGAAGACAGAACCATCCGGGGAAATGAAGGTCCTGGTCACCGTGTAAACCGTCTCGCCCTCATTCACGCTGAGCAACAAGCCAGGGTATTCCACAATGATAACCTCCTCTCCCGTCTCGTCTGCAATGGAAGGAGTCCGTCCGATTCCATCGCTTCCTCGTGGAAGTAAAGTGCATTAATATGATAATGCGAACCTGGGACGACGTAGAACTGGTAGTACGAGGATCCACCTGCGGCGGTAGTGACTTCAGGTGGCAGGGGATGCAAACAGTCACTGACTGTTGCTGCGGTCGTCAATTGTCGTCCTTCCATCAATGCCGCCAGTAATTCTTCGTATGATGTCAGAGCAGTGCTGGAACAAATATGCAGCTGTGTTCGGTCTGTTTCTTTCGGTTCTGAAGCTTCTCCTTCAGGTGTGAACTTTCTTGAATGCGTTACAAATATTCACAAGAGAGAATGCGGTGTCGGAGTGACAAGGTTTCTTCGCAAAAATAAAATCGTACTCTAAATATTTATTTTGCATGCATGAGTGGAATGCTTAGGAGTAAGAATTCTACGTAGTATATCCCATGTTGCGATAATAAAATGTTTTCAAAACCCACTCATCAGCTTGTAAGATCTGACCAACATGAGCATGGAAGATGACCGAGGAAAACCCTTGAATTGTAAATAGTCTCCGTTTGATGCAGGAATTTCATTATTCTTCTGTGACCAGTATTCACAGAGCGGCATTGTGCGAGACGAGAGAAGAACTTACTCTGGTTGGTGGTTGCCCTTCTCCACGAAGAAGGCCCCGACCCCAACCGCACATTGCACGACGAAGTTGTCGATAACGAGACCGTTTTCGCTGGAAATCTCGTAGGAATCGAAGACAGCAACCCCGTTGGCATCCACATACGAAATTACCAGGATGAACGTCCCAGTAGCTGCGAATGAAAAAAAAACCATCAAGCAGATGTCCTCATCGTCAGCGCGAGACGGAATTGGACCCAAAGGAGAGAGTCTCACGGGTAAGGAAACTTTGCAGGGCGACAACATATGGAGTTTCCAGCTCCACCTCCGTGTATGACCATGCGTCGAAATGCACAGACCCCACCTGTGCGGAAATTCATGCCAGAATCAGCGATGTTCTCGGCAAATATTTACGTCCAAAATTATTTTATTTCGAGATACAGTGTATCATGCCCAATTGGAAACTTTCTAGGAGAAACGAACATAAATCTTTTTAGCTATTGTCGGTTCTGGCAATCTGTACTTTTTCGTGATGTCTATCCTCATCAAAGTTCAGCTCGGTTGATCTACAAAGACGTTGACCGAATCTGTATTGAAGCTTCACAAGGAGCCTGATTCTGTGAAACATTGCGAAGTCATAGGTCTCGAAGGCAGGTGGATATGTTGGGTGTGGGAGTCTTGTCGCCCATTGGTTGGAAATTCCATGGTATTGCCATGGTACTGATTCACTATCAGCCTTAACAGACCAGGTCAGAAAGGGGCTGGATCCTCTTTACGGCTATACAATGACTGTCTGCTGCGATCGTCATCTTCGAAAAATTCCTGTCTTTCACGAAGTTCATTGTGCCTCTCTCAACGTATGAGAATTATGACCTGGACAAACCATAACATTAATTAATTAATTTTAATCTGAGGGGGAGGAACGATTTACTTCGCATTGCTAACCAATGGTTCGCTTCGCTGGCCAATGCTCGAAATGTTAATGCTCCAAGCACATTGCCAGGAGGCAAAAGTAGAAAAGATTGAAAGGTTGCATGGCACTCACGAGAGGTTCAGGAATGTTGGTGGATTCGCACAAACTGCTGTCAAAATTGGCAGACACGCGATGCCCGGCCAGCAGAGCTGCTGCCACGTCCTCGAAGGTCTCCAGGGATCCTCCTTATTTCAGAGGAGAAACAATGACGCCGCGTTTGAGTTAAGGACTGGTGACGCGGAGAGAGAAGACGCGAAATAAACAGAAAATTTCTCAAACTCAAAACCCCATGGCTAACTGAAATTCAGCTAATATACAATATTCACCCGTTTCAATGAGCAAAAATATATCTTCAAATTTCTCTCTCGATAAACGTGTCTTGAAGATTACCTTTCCATTTTTAACGGTTTCCTTAAGCTAAACATTTCTGGAAATATCTTTCCCCCCAAAAAAGTGCCCTCAGGGCATGTACCTCCCAAGTCATATTTAAAAAAAATAAACAAGGCATCCCAATATCTACTCATGTACCAAGTTTCAGTCTTCAACCATACCTAGAACATGGTTAGAATTACCATCAGTCACTCACACTCCGTCACGATTGTCTATATACCTAGGTAAAGTATATTATATTATTTACATAACCAAATCGATGTCTGGATTCGGTTGCAAGTTGCCGCAGAAGTTATTCCTGCATGGAACCTCATGCATGAAGCGGAATTTAAATGTGCTAGCTCTCATTCCGGAAATAAAAGTTGCACATATGTGGATTCGATGAAGAAATACTGATCTGGCCCTGAAATTCCCTTTCGCATTTTTTTTTTAAACTCCCAAATGAAACAGCAGACCTTGGGCGAGGATGGCCGGGAGGAAGGCGGCGAGGCAGAGGAGGAGTCGGAGCATGGCGACTTCAGAGCTGTCAGATGCAGACTGGATCGGGATTCCCCTCGACTGCTTCTTTTATAGTGGATCCATGTGGTATCTGTCGCGATGCCTCCCCACTTGGTGCTATTTCCTCGAGAACTTCGTCATATGGTGCACGCTCATCGTCTACGTGTACTGTCTCCCTGCGAGATCCTTTTCGTGCATATAATGGTGACTTGGGATGAATTTGTTGAGGAATGGAAAGGTCCGTGTCCTATTCGCCTGAAACGATGTTCATTTTTCTGAAGGGATTCATGTATCTACCGCTCCTTAGAGGAAAATTTCGGAGAAACTCATCTCACGAATATTCCTTCCTAAGATGCTGCTAATATGGCTAATGGTAGATCGTATAAATCCACATGGCGGTTTATATCGATAGTTTGTTATTATCCAAATAGTTCATGTGGGAATGAAATAATGTTTTTAATTATGGAGGAAGCGGACGCCGATCCGGAATGCCGGACGTCGCGGCGGTCGCTTTAAAGCCGTTTCAACTTAATGCAGACAAGTTGACAGTACAAGTACTGATAAGTACTAACCAGATTCAAGAAATCCCTTGTTTTTATAATCTGGGATCGCAATTTTGGAATCGCATCGACTTTTACTTCTAGTTGGGGAGTGGAAATCGAAGATGAAAATTTGAAAACTCACTCTTAAATTTCAGAATTAGGTTTACTGCTAAAAAAATTGCAGTCTAAGTTGTGGAAAAGAGACATCTGGGTTCCCAGCAGAAACGATATCTCCGATTTTCTCACATGGAATAGCTGTTCCGGGGAAATCCCCGGAATTTTCCTGACCGTGAAGAGTTCGTAACGGAACCTCATTCTCATAGCCCTTTAAACTTCTATTAATATCGCAAGGAACACCACCCAAGTGATGATTTCCAATTTTGATCGAACATTGGTCGTTGAAGGCTCAAAACGAATGACATATCTTCGTATTCTCTTATTTTCTTCCCCATATCTCGAGTGATTCTCGTTCTGATCACAACCGATCATCTTCAAAACGGTGCGAATTAGCCTGCAAATCGCGCTGAAGATGCTCAATGGAGCTCATGGAGCAATCAGAGATCCAGTGAACACTAATTAATTCGCATGAGATCGAGCTTAAGTCTTTCTCTAATCACTCCCTCCCACTTTCTCTTCCATCACAATTGTAATTACCCAGTGTAAATGATTTTCCAATAATGAGGCCATTTTGAATTGCGTATGCAAAAATGTCCCATTAAGGAGGGGCTCAATTTACCCCACATCAAGTTATGGAACACGTCCATCGTCCATCATGGAAGAAAATATTCAAATATTTCATTTCCTACATGCAACCCATGTCTTTCCTTTACTTAGCGGCCGCTGTGCCTCTTGCCGTTAAGTACTGCCAAGTGGTGGGCAATGAAAAAAGGACGTTTTAGGCCAATGGGCATTTTGGTCGAACATCAGCTGCATCTGACCATTCCTTTAAACGTTATGACCAAATATATAGCTGCACGGTTACAGGTCTCAATCAAACTTTATTTCACCACAGCTTTAGAAAAAACTTCAGGAGGCATCTGTTGTTTGGGCAAAAGTATACTGTACAAATGGACCTACACGGTCGTTTTTTCATGCATGAAAAATTGCGTTGCATGTAAATATGTGGCGCATTGGTCGATTGCAGCGACATCTATAGATTTGTATATACCACATCTTGTGGTTTATTCAAAAATGTATTGAACTCATGAATTTCTCAGTCGTTGCATTGGGTCGTCCCTCGAGAAGTTATGGCAAATCGAAAAAGGGTGGTAACTTCATAGGAACCCTATATGCACAATATTGGAGCAGAGAAACACAATTTACACCAGATAATTACAGTTTTGCAATATGGTCGTTAATGAGGGAGTGATCGGAGAAAGACTTACCTTGAAGGTGATCCTTCAGCTCCATCTCATGCGAGTTGATTATTGTCTCCGGATCTTCGCTTGCTACACGAGCTTCAGGAAATTCTTCAGGTTTATTCGCACCATTTTTAAGATTACCACTCATGATCAGATCTGAAGAACGAGGGTCCCTCGAGAAACGGGTGAGGAATCCCACGAAAATCAGAAAAATCCGAATAAGAGGACATGTCATCGGGACTTTTGGGGGTCTAAGCGGAATTTTTTAGGTCGAGCCAGTTATGAGCCTAAACCTGTTCCATGGCCATTGGTGCCAATTGACCTCACTTTGAGAGTGCTTTCAATGACCAAACTATGGCCAAAGTCAGAAATCAATTTTTTTTGTGCCGTTCCTTGTCAGCGATTAGTAAAAGAAATGAAAAAATGAAGAAATGAAGCTCATTTTAATGAAGCTCATTCGCTCATTTCGACAAAAAATTCCTACAAATGCAAGAAATAATTATTATATGATGTAAATAATCTTAAATAATTTGTTCGGAAACGAGCCCTCATCCTAACGATCCACTTTTTTTCAGTTTTGGTGTTTTACTGGTTCCGTTTCTCAGAATCATCACAGAATCGTCAGATGTCGAAGCCGATTTGGCAGCAAAATTAACTGGTAAATTTTTTTAATGTCATAATAATTTTTTAAAAAATTACTTTTTCATTTCAGAGGCTTTGAAGTCATGTGTCTCAGGAGACGATTTCGAAAATGAATTCGAATGCAAAAATGCTGGATGTTTGGAGCCGAGTCCCGAAGTTTCATGCTAGTTCAATATTGCTTCGAAATTGAAATATTGTTATTTAAAAATTGAAATATTAATTTTTCAAAAATTAATCCGCGATGGCGTTTGTGATGTGAATTCGTGCAAAAGGTCCTTCCATTTTTAAATTGATTTTCATTATTCCAACTCATAATTTTCGAAATTTCGTGAATCAGTCCTTCGGCCACCCGGACAGGTGAAATTTTAATTTAACTTATTTAATAGTAATTTACTGCGGTCGTACAAATTTTGATTAGAATCGGAGCGGAGACATGCTCCCCGCCGCGTACTCCGCCGTCGCACCTGTCGGAAATCTCACGAAAGGAAAAAAAAAAACAATGTGGTGGAGAAATCGTTTATTGCGAAATGCGGTTAGTTCCTTTTTCCACGGCACTCCCGCTTGGAAATGGACACAAAAAAATAATTTTAAGGTATTCCGCCGTGCAATGGTTTTGTTTGATCGTCTCTCGGCAACTTTCTTCAGTTGCCAATCGCAATTTCTCGCCCTAAACGTTGAAATCATTTTTTTCGAGCTTTTCGAGCGATGTGTCGTCTCCTTTTTTATTTTTAAATTTTATCCAGCAGTAAATATTGTAGTAACATACCATCACGTCATTGTTACTTCCGGCAAACTTCCGGCAAAAGTCAACGCAATTCCGATCCCTGAATTTCCGATCCAGGAAAGGATTAAGTCGACGTAATTTTTTAGCTTGAAAATATTTTTTCGATTGATAATTAATCATATTCATACATTTTCAAAGTATCTCAAATTATATTTATTCACACCATCATTTCTAATCATCTTCAATCGAAAGCCCCTAATCAGTCTGATAATGATGATGCTGAATTTGCATACGAAGCATCATTCGTTTCTCCCCGCTTCCTACGTAATTAATTAATTCGATTGCTGAAAAAAAATTATGAACTTCAAATGAAATGATGATAGTACGTTCCTAAAGTTCTCTAAAGACAACTTGGAACTGTATTCACGGATGCCAATGAGACGCCAATTTCCACATGTTATTAAGATACCGTCCAGTTCAACTTCGCCTCATGAACTTTCCCGAAAGCTTGCCGTCGAATTTTACTCAGTAATCATTTAAGATTTATTTATAGAAAATCATTTAGCGAATTTAGGGCAATCTCCTTTAAGTGCGCGTCTCACCTCGCGATCAGTAATTTGTGCGACGCTCGTTGCGGTCGTCGATGCGACTCATTCCGCGTCACGAGGATTTTCCGTCTGTCACCCGCCGACTAGGTAACGCCCTCAATGGCTCAATGGCTCAATGGCTCAATGGCTCATGAAGTTGGTCGTTTGATTTTTAACATCGATCCTGCAGCTATCGTGACTTTTCTGTTCTGACGGAGGAGGCGTCGTAGAGGATGTTCGTCAGGGCCTCCGCCTCCAACAGTCTTTTCCTTATCCATTCGGACATTTTGTCCATTCCGTTCTTAACCGTGCAGAAACCCGTGGTTTCGACTTCGCAGAATGTCGTCGGTAAGGGCTGTGATGTACCTAAACAAGTTTTGGCATCATCTAAGTTCTCGATCCTGACTTGAAGGCGGAAAAAGAAGGAAAAAGGAAAATCATTGAAACTCTATTGAACTCTATTAAACTATTGCCTTCGATCGCATTGGATCGCTTCGAACACATGCGAACTCAGGTCGAAATAAAATTTATTTGGTAATCTGTTTCTCTGTGAATCACGTTTAACATTGTAAATAATGAAGCATATTTCTTTAAATATATTACATTTAATCGAAATGTGAAAGGAAGAGCGAGCGGGCATTGTGACCCACATGTCGCTATGAATTATTATTAAAATAATTTTCGGAATAAACGTGGCCTCTCCTCTCGGTTATACAGCTCATCTAAACATCGTGTTTATCTAAACACGTGCAGAAAATTCAGGCTCTAATACGATGGCTGACGTTCCACGGACTCTTCCCCGAAATATATTTCCCATAACGGTCTTATTCCTGGAAGGTTTTTCCTCTGATAGGAGACTTCCCCAAAGGACTCTCCCCTGACAGTCTTCGAAAGGAAAAAATCCTGCGGAAGGTTCCCCTTCATTCCCGAACGGAGTGGTCTCAACCTGCATGAGATCTAAACTTAGAAGAGACAGCCCAGAATGCACAAACCTTATTTAGCCTTTATCGGACCTTTATTTATATACGTCGTCCCGTAATATGTTTCTTCCCACGGCCGAGTGGGGCACGTCGTACCACTGAAACTCCAATAGTTTTGGCACGTCGTGTAATTCATTTTTTTTTTCTTTGGAACCAACTTTCGTCACAGGATCGGGGTTTATTTGTCATGTGATGTCATGTGATTCGTCACCAAAATAGTTTTCTTTTAGTGTATGAGCAACATGTTTTTTCAAATGCGTCTTTCTTGCACTTGTCTGGCACTTAACCTTGATTCAACCTTGGCTCAACGTTGAATCAAGGTTAAGAGCCAACGCTCAACGCTGTTGAATCAACGTTAGATGCACGAGGCAAGTTCTTGCGAGCAAGTCCTTGCTTACAAGAAATTGCCTGATGAAAATAAAAATAATGGTGGTTCATTCACGATTCTGGAATAATCGTGAATCAGCAAATTGCATTCAATCGCCGGGCACGGTAACAAAGCTACGGGGATTTGCTCTGCGATCGCTTAATGGTACGGGGTGATCATTTTAAGCGAGAACCCAATAAATCATTAATAATTTTGGCGAAAAGAACTGAAATTATGAAAATTGGTCGTAACGTACTTCGTTGTCTGGAAGGACGTACCATTATTGGTTTATTACCAAAGGTGTTGAAATTGACCGCCGCCATTTTGGATCCACAACTGTGCACGCCTGAGCATGCTTAAAGACACCGGCGGTGATTTGTTGGCTGGGATGTCGGCAACGAGTTACGAGATGTTTGTCAATTCATCCAAAGCGCGTGGATTATTGTTGTAGCCATCGTCTTTAACATAGCCGAATAGGAAGAAATCCAAAGGCGACAAAGAGGGAAAGGTCGGCCAAGCTCGATGTGTTATTTGTTGCACCATCTTGCTACCACCACGCCCTGACAATCTCCTTTTCAGTCAGGCGTCCAATAAATTAATGGATCATTAATGGAAATTAAATATTAATAAATCAATGTACCGTTAAGAGGTCATGTTACTTGTGATAAAGATGGGTCCCACAAAACTGCGCCTATTGCTCACCACAATCATTACGTCTTTCCAGACAAAAAGTTCGTTGCTTCCAATCTTCACGCTCCCGATTCTTTCCCACCCAAAGTAATCAACGGTTTCAATGGAGTTCTCACTTAAAACGATAACCCCGCGGCACTTAAGCCCTTCCCTAATTAAGCGCAGGGCAGACGATCCTGCACAAGTTCGACGGCGAAAACTGTTCGGTCGGGTACGTTCCCTTATTAACTTCCTTTAGGTTCATTCCTCGGGCGTTCCAGGAAGGCGTACTCAAGAACTGGCCGGATGGAAGAGGGCCGGACATGTAGAACTATCCCGTGAGATGCATTTTAGCAGGTATATAATACTTAAATCCAAGTAATGCAAAATTGACACTCGAGAAGAACACGCTCAAGTGCCCTGACCACGATTCGAATCAAGGTTTTTTGAGCCACATTAACTGAACCCGAAAACTGAACCGTTTCCAAACCGCGTGCCGTGCGGAGTGCGAACCAAGTTTCCAGCGAATGGATTCGCTGATCCAAGGAGGATCCTTCTCGTGGATTATGGATTAACAGGATCGATCGAGTAACTATAATCCACTTTATGACAGGAAAAAATGGCAACATTTGTGCAAATGTTGGCACAGTCGGTCTGAATTCATTCCGGTATCAAGGCCTCGAAGATCCTCACCCCCTCGCCGAGGGCGCATTCCAAGACGGTTTCGCGGAAGTCGTCGCCCCATTCGCCGTTTTCGCCGAACCGCCAGAGGCCTGGGTAGACGAGGGCATTGCCGTTTTCGTCGACGGTCGCCGAGAATGTCTCGTAGACCAGGCCGCCGATGGGGTCACTGTGCACGGCAAATGCCGATAGGAAAATTCTCGCCTCTGGAGCTGAAAGCGAAAATCGGGGCATACTGTACGAACGCTTACACAGAGAGACTTTTCGTTGACACATGAAGACAGGAGCGTGGGGACATTTTCAGATCCCGAGTCTCCCCACAATACCACACAATACCCCACAATACATGCTCATGTGCCGTCTACAAGAAAGAGTTACTTGTTGATAATTTCCCAAAGTTACATGGTGTTGCGACTCGTTCAGCCTTACCGTTTGTGTTTCCAGCCTGCACTGTCTTGAGAAAACGTAATTTTAAAGGCTTTTCATGCCGATCAAACTAATTTTAAAACTTCCATCGATGTCTATTTTCTGGAATCCCTAACACAGAACTCCCCACATCGGCACGAGGACTCACTCCCGGGACCGAGAACGACGAGGTCTCGTAAGTACGCCCCCACCGTGACCCCGGAAAGGTCAACTTGCCCCGTCGGGTCCACGCATTCGCTCAAATCCATTTCCGCCAACAGTTTCGCCCCGCTCAGTTGCGCCGCCAACACCGACGCGAAATCCGTCAGCTCCGCCCTGCAGAAACGAAACGGGGACGACATCGCATCGTCCACCGATGAAGTGACTTTCCAAGACTCACTGATGACTTTCCAAGACTCACCGATCGTAGTCAGGAGCCGAAAACTTGGCAGCATCGCCCAAGGTGCAATTGAACGCAGACACATCTGGGACGTCTCCGGGGTCGACCGGGTCGAAAACCGCGATCGTTGCGTGCAGCATGCCCTCAGGGCCCAGGCGGAAGTCTTGCACCACGATGTCTCCGGCGACTACGATCGATAAGAATGGCTAATTAGGCGATCATCGGACAAAATTGGCTATTGGCTATTGGCTATTGGCTATCGAATCATCCGACGAAAAGAGAATTCTATTCACGATCTGCGATGGATTGCGAGAAGTGGATCCCCGGCGAATCCCCAGCCTCCTCCCGAACCCAAGCCAACACCTCAGCCCCAGCAGACTGAAAACGCAAAGGGAACATTCCAATGGCTTCATTCATTCATTTCTAATGTAATCCTTTCTATAGAGAAGATCTCGACGAGGAGGCAGCTGGAGGCAGAAGAAACGAAGCGAAAGGGCAAGCACCCGTCTCTCCCCAGCAGAGTGACCTCTGATCCTCACGATGAGAAAACTTTTTGGACGGAGAACCCCCATCACCATGCTCAAGGACTGCAACGTCGAGAACGGAAGGCGAGAAAAACCTTTAAAGCTTTCGGTAAAACGGAAACCATGTCGAAGCCCCCCCTCACCGCTTGCCATCCACCACCCACGGCAGGTCTGACGAGCGAGAACGGCTTCGTTTAGTCCATCCTTAGTCCATCCTTAGTCCATCCTTAGTCTATCCTTAGTCTATCCAGTCAAACTTCACAAAGCATTTGCCTTTTTTATGTCAGCTGCTTAATTCTGCGCTGCCATGCGCTTGTGAAAACGTCAGAAAGGGGTTCGGACGATTTCGGACCAAGGCGTTCCTGTCGCTCGTCAGGCATCATGTAAACGTTTCTAAAATCTTTGATGTGTGATGCCTGTTCCTTCCGCCTGGGAGCGCCACCGTCTGGCGGCGGGGTCAAAGGGAATTCGTCTCCGAGGGGGAGGGGAGGAAGCAGATGACGTCATCTCGTGACTTCTTTCAGGGTTTAAGTTTAGCAAGGTCGCATCGGATGATCTCAGTGTCGATAATCCGCACCGAGAGACGGCTCGTCATGTCATCAGATCTCACCTTTTTTTTTGCATCGAGGATCACATCGCAAATAGGAGAATTAAAGGAATTAAGAGAATAAGAGAGTTAGAGCAACAAGTGTCAAATTAGCTAATTGAAAACAATTCGGACATGGACATAACGGTCGCTTCGGGACATGAGGATATAACCACCCTGATGTCCCGAGGCGACCGAATGCAAAACGTGGAAAGTGAATGGCGGGATTGGAAAAAAAGGGGGGGGGGGGGGGGGGGGGGAAGGGGGGGGGGGGGGGGGAGGGGAGGGGGGGAAAGGGATCCCA